ATAAGATGAATTTGTTAGAGTTTCTGTGAGTAGAATGAGATGAAAATGGATCTTAGTTGGGGGAAGAACCCTCTCCGCATAAAAATTGCGATCTCTCTCCTTCCCTTGAATTTGTTACTCTTATCCCTCCTCCTTTTATGACTCAACAATTATTTTATTTTTTTTACTATGAATTTTTCTTTTTATTTTTATATTGTGAAATTAGGATTTTTTATATTTTAAAAAAAATAAAATTAACATAAGACATTGCAGTATCTAATTTTTTAGGGTTTAGGATTTATGCCTTCATTAACTTATTTTTTTTAAAAAAGAAAATATTGTTAAAATATTTGTTAGAATAATTTACATTTATAAATATCGTTAAAAATTATCTATATCTAAATACTTTCGTTTATATAAAAAAAAAATTATATATCTAAATATTTTCCCAATATCAAATATACTGATTTTTTTATATAAAAATTTATTTTATATTTCTATATTTCTGTTTTTGCATTTTTTTATAATGGCTGAGGTATTTGATCCATTTGGATAGCCAAGATATGTTCGATATTGTATGATTAATGTGCTTCTAAAAATAATAATATAATTTTATTGATTTTTTCTCTTAGCCATAATTATTTATATAATTAGTTTTCAACATATATTGTTTTAGTAATTCAAATGGGAGATTCACAAGGAAATAATAAAGGAAAAGGAAAAGAGAAAAAAATATGAAGCTTGGATTAAGGAGGATTCCGATGAATTGTTACAATTGATAGTGAATGCTATAAAAAAAGGATAGGATATTATGGAGAATTATTATTATTATTATTTATCTAGACATTATTTTTTTTTATTATTTTTGTCTTTGACTCTTTTTAAATTTGAATGTATGATTTTTTTTAATCTTATCAAATGTCAAAACTTCACAAAAATTCTACAAAATTCACAAAATCTCACAGAATCCATTAAAATCCTGATTTAAAAGTCTTGCAAAATCCATTAAAATCCTAATTTTAAGTCTTATAGAATCCTGCAAAATCTTAAAAGTCATGAAAATCCTGCAAAATCCTAATCCAATACACCCCCCTAAGTTTAATTTAATCATATATATATAAAAATGATTTATAATGTATGAATTTTTATTATTTATATACTTTATTTTAATTATATCATTATTCAATATAAAATTTATAAAACTCTAAATATATGCACTTGATACGAGAAAAGTTTATTAACGAATAATACGATAAATTCAACAATAAAATATTAATATAAACTTTAATATAATCTTAAATAATACTTATGATAAGAGTCACTCCCTCTTAGTAAAATCTAGTTAACTTGGCCGGTTCCCTCTAGCATTTAATATTATATTTAAGTCTCATCTGAAAATAAATATATTATTTATTATCTTGTCAACACATTTCTAAAAAGATGTTATAACTAATATTATATTGTAATTAATAATGTATGAAGAGTTGTTATGGTACAAGGCTCTCCAAATTTGATGCATGTTTTTGTGGCTATGAATGAGCAGTTAAGGAATAATGTTCCGTTATCATTGGTTCTAATCAGCATGAGCATCCACTATATATTAATCTAAAATATAAATTAATTAATTAACTCATTGTTATATATATTTAGAACAACACCCATAGGGCAGAAAGATTCTTTTATTCCAAGCTCCTGTAAAATATGGGAAACAACTACATGGCTAGCGTTGAAAGACACAGTAATGAAATCTGGGAATATAACTTTGTTCAGCCTTCTAGATATTTATTGTTTAACCATTTTCAAAGATGGTGTCTAAAAAGGAGATTACCAGAATATATTATTTTTCCTTTGCATCTAAAATCTGCTTTCTTTTTATAAGCTCATCCATATACCACGACACTTGTTATTCCCATTTCATCAAGCATGCACTTAGATACCATTCCTGTCTGAAAGGTTGTAACATCAATTTGGTTTAGTTGAAAGAAATTATGCTATATACATAAATATCTACATCTACGTATAAAAAAGAATTGATACTCTTTTTCGTACCATTAGTTTTGCCTATATGTGTTAAAGTGTATACTATATATAATAACTCAAGCTTGATTACAAAATATTATATATCGATCGACCATTTTGAGAGATCCAAATGGCACTGAGGAATATATTCCATCGCTGGTTTCTTCCTTAGTTGTTCTTCTTTTCTTCTTTATATCTACCATGGCTTCCTTGCTAGAGAGAGTTTTCGGCTCTGAAATCTCTTCGTTTATATACCGTTGTTTTATCTATCAAGATCATCATAACAAAGGCATCCATCATAAGAAGTTCAACATGCCAAAGAAGGCTCGACCACTTTCCTTGCAGGTTAATTAATTTGCTTTCAATATTATTTCTCTTTTTTCATTAATCTTGAAAGTGGAATTAATATAAAGCAAAGGGAAGGATGATTATTAAAATATATTTTAATTTCTCCTTGATTAGTTGTTTCATATATTCTTTCTCCATCGATAGTTTTTTATTTTTATTTTTTATTTTACATAGTTTCATCTCATGTCATAGGACTTTATTCATGATATAATTTTTGGAATAAATAAAACGAAACTGAAACTGATCGAAATTTAAAATCAGTCTTACTCATGCATGCATGTTGGTGTCGGTGAGATTTCCAATTATTTATGATACAATTTGATCTCCCATCGGTATAAGAGAAAGAGAAACCATATGTGAGTTCTCCTTTTGATTAAGAAGTTGAAGGTGAAGAACAAAGAAGTAAGAAAAAAAGTTATCTATACGACAGGTTAATGATCTTGTCAGACACTGAGTAAAGAGTGAAAAAAGTGACTTTTCAGATGAGTACATATGAGAATATATGAAAATCACCATCAATTGGTTACTTTTATTTTGGGAGATTGTTCCCACCCCAATTTTTATTTACTGGGTCAGTAGTATTTTATTTTGATTTAGTTGCTGTTTTCAAACCTGTAAGTAGTAAGTATTTAACAAAATATATATACATAGCGATTGAATTTCATGTAAATATATGTAGCTGTTGCTTAAATTTTGAGAAAGAATCAGAATATGAAGTAGGAGACAAATATATAGTTAGGGAAAAACTGTCATGTAACTGAAATGACATCTGAGATACTTATTCGTTTCAGACCGTTGAGCTGAAAGTAAGGATGTGCTGCACTGGCTGCGAGAGAGTTGTTAAAAACGCCATATACAAGCTCAAAGGTATCTTTATTTTATTTTTTTTTTTTTTTTTTTTTCGTTTTTAAATGTGTAGGACTTCCTAAGTTAGTCATATTGAGGTTTTTAGAGAAGCATTTTAGAGAAAAAAAAATTGTTTAGATTAATTAATTAAGAGAATTATATATAATTTATAGAAAAGGCATAAGTAGGGATAATTAAAATATTTCACAATAATTTAATTAATAATTTATTCTAAAAAGTTCCTGAATTTAAGATGGTAAATGAAAACTTGTATTCTATTGTTTTTCTCCGTCAATAATCTCCTACCTTAAACATATTCTATACGCGACTCAAATTGGACAAAAATAGTACGACAAAATAAAAATATTTTTGGAATCAAATCCAAACACTCTTATTACATATTCTCATTCTCCTATTCGCAAGTCATCGACTAATGGATATATTCTACAATTATTTGAAACAATAATCTATAAACCTCCCAATAAAAGTGCTTTATATATTATTAGTAGGGTTTGTGCCTCTTAATTTTTTGAAATAAAAAAATAATGAAGTAAATAATAGATAGTTATTAAAAGAGTGTGAAGTTTATATTCGTTGAAATTTTAAAACACAAAAATATATATTAAAAAAGTGTGAAAAATTACTAATTATGTGAGAAAAGATATTAAAAAATTATTAATTATTAATTTTTTTTAAGTAATTGAATGATGAAATAGTCCAATATGTATTGATATTGATATAAAAAAGAACCGCTAGATTTACCTAGTAGTTGGAATATTGGGATAATATGAATAAGTTCTAGGTTTAAATCTTGAAATTGTCATTATAATTTTAATAGAAAAAAAAAATTATTAATATAAAAAAACTGGTGAATTATATTATTGTGATGAGTTTAACTGTTTTTTATAAGCTGCGAATATAATATTCCGGCTTTCACTGTGCTTTATTATTAAATTAATGTAATAAATATTAAAATTGAATATTTATAGTTTATGATAGTTCATCGTTTAAGCAAAGAAAGATTCAAGAAGAATAAATTGCCTTTTGAACAATCGATGCAAATGTTTTTTTATTTATTTATTTGGATGTGTTTCAAATTCCCTAAAAAAATACTATAAAATATTTATTTTTTCAAATAAGTCATTTATATATTTACCAATTGAGAATTATTTGGAAGATTAATTGTGATAATGTTGTACTCTTTAATATTGTACAAATTTCCAATGCATACGAATAGTATTTCGTTGCAAGTTTTTGTTTCAGAAAGATTGAACTCTTTCAAGGGTCGGAATTTTTAACATGATTGACACCATCTTATAATTACATATTTTTACATGTTATACCTTAAAAATGAAGGTTCACATTTTAAATTTTTTTAACTTGATGTTGAAAATGAGATGGTTATTTTTTCAAAAAAATTTTAGACTAATTTTTTTTCCTTTTTTTTCGATTTAAAACAAACTAGTAACTAATAAGGCAGATATCAATTGGTTAGTATTAATTTCATTAAAAATGGTGCAATTTGAACAAAATATTAATTAACAATGCTAAATCTATATAATCTATAACCATAATAATCACTTTTATATATGATTTTTGTATCCAATTATATTTATGTGATCAGTACATAAATCATTTACACTTTTTAATTAATCATTCACTATTATATAAATTTTTAACATTTTTTTTATTTTAAAAAATAACATAGAGATAGAAAGTGTCTAATTTTCTCTGCTGTTACATATCTTATATATAGGCATTGATTCAGTGGAGGTTGACTTGGGAATGGAAAGGGTAACAGTTGGAGGGTATGTGGATCGGAACAAGGTCCTTAAGGCCGTGAGAAGGGCAGGGAAAAGGGCAGAATTCTGGCCTTACCCTAATCCACCACTTTACTTCACAACTGCTGACAATTACTTCAAAGACACCACCCATGAGTTCAAAGAAAGCTATAACTACTATAGACATGGCTACAACCTCCCAGAGAGGCATGGCACCTTTCATGTCTCTCACCGTGGAGATGACAACGTTAGTAACATGTTCAATGATGATAATGTCAATGCTTGCTCTATCATGTAATTGTAATTATTATTACTATATATATCCTTGTTATATATATGTGTGTGCTAGCTAGCTATTAGGGAAAACTAGTCCCATCATGACAATATGTAAATTTGCAGTAGCAATAACTCCTATGTGTATATGGTTAAAAATTAAAGATATATGTGTTATACATATGTGCATGAAACGTGCCATGTGCTTTTGAGAATTTGAAGAAATTTTATTAAAATAATCAAGGAAGTTTAACACTTTCTACAACTAATTAAAGTGACCAATCGTTGGTTGGTGCAGTGGTACCATGGGTTGGTGCAGTGGTAGCATGGGGCTGCACTTGGTAGGGAGGCCTGCGGATCGATCCTCCACAACAGCGATTGAGAGGGGCTTAAATACCGTAATCCTTGGACCCGTCCCGAATCCGGATTAGTCGGCCCATTGTGGTTCGGATACCGGGTGGTTATACAAAAAAAAAAAAAAACTAATTAAAGTGTAAAGTGCATTAATTTTATACAGAAATTCATAAAACATGTGAGTTTAATTTATATAATTTTTAGTGTAAAATATTTTAAGATAATTATTATAAAAAAAATACATGGCAATATTTACGCAACATACATAAAACTGATAAATGGAAGAAAAAAAAACAGATACATGACAATATGATAATGTGAGAAAAACAATAATTATTATTGTTCACATTGCATTAACTAATATTAATATTTAGGATTTAGGGTTTTGTATATATATATAAGAGGGTTCAACGATACCAATATAATTTTTACTAAATATTACACCGCTCAATAACTTTATATTAAATAAGAATTTTGTAAATCTAACTGTTAGATTGAAAGTTTATGTCACTTTATATGTTTATATTAAATTTTGTTAAAATTAAACAATAATTCGAAGGTAATTAAAGTTTTCATATTTTATTATATTTTGAAATATATATATATATA